GGGAGTGGGCGTAGGGAGGGATGTTACAGGCTGAAGCAGGAATCCCAGGCAGAGCCTGAGGATTTGAGTCTCCCGTGCCTCGCACAGCGGGTGGGAAGCTGGGAATTAGGGTCGGGATAAAGCAGAGGGGGGACGGCGGTGTCGGGGTGCAGCGTGCTGAGGCGGCTCCGAGCGATTCCTGTAAGTGACAGAGGCAGCGTTGGCTTGAGGAGACGTTTTTGTTGTCATCCTTCGATCCCCGTGCCTTTTCCGCTCTCCACGGGTTTCCGTTCCCCCAGCAGCCGCCTGCGCCGCATTTGGCACCACGCTGCCGGGGCGAGGGGGGATGCAAGTCCCCAGCCCGATTCCCGTGGGGGAGCGCGGGTTCCCAAACCTTGCGGGGCGGAATCGGGTTCCTAGGAAAGGGCCTGGGCTCAGGTGTGGCTCCGTCTCCTCCGCAGGGCATTCGAGGATGAGAAGAAAGCCAGGATGGGGGTGGTGGAATGCGCCAAACACGAGCTGCTCCAGCCTTTCAACGTCCTCTACGAAAAGGAAGGTGAGCGGCGGCGCTGGGAGGGCAGAAGCCGGCCGCGACGACGGGCGCTTCCGGAGCCTGGTGCCGTCGCTGGATAAACACCGCAGGGCCCTGGGGTTTATCCTCAGGGAAACTTGCCACCCGTTGCCTTCCGGATCTCGGTTTGGAATCCTTCCAGCGCCGAGATGAAACTGGTTTGGGGATGATTTCCTGGGCCGGAGGATGCTGATGCTCGGGGGGTGGTGCCGAAGGGCTCGTTTGGCCGTAACCGGGCCGTGGGGGGTAAATTTAACAGGTTTCCCACGAGTGACGGCGTGGAAATGAGGTCCTGGAGGGAAATGCCATGCGGATACAGGGGGCTGGGGGCGTCATAACGCCCGTTTTCTCGCCTCGGCAGGAGAGTTCGTCGCACAGTTCAAATTCACGGTGCTTCTGATGCCCAACGGCCCCATGCGGATAACCAGCGGCCCCTTCGAACCCGAGCTCTACAAGTCGGAGTTCGAGGTGCAAGACGGAGAGCTGAAGGTTGGTTAAAAACGAGCAGGGGCGGAGCGCCTCGCGCGGCTCGGCCTGGCTCTGCATCCCCGCTCAGGGGAGGGAGAATCCCGGAGGATTGCAGGGAAA